TCGAAACGTGGCGCTGGCTGCTACGCTATAAGGGAAATAAGGTTGCGCCTTCACCAAGGCAATTGCTTTTGGTGTAGTGGTTAAGCGCTTGATCCAAACAAATAGCATATCAGTTAGAGCTTCCAGAAGAACTGAGTCTAATTCACAACACTTTCCACGTGTCGAATCTGCGAAAATGTTTGGCCGATCCGAGTCTAGCTATACCGATGCCAGAGATTAAATTAGATAGTAAGCTGAACTTTGTAGAAACACCGGAAGCTGTAATTGACTGAAAGATCAGGGTGTTGAGAAACAAAGAGATAAGTCTGGTTAAGGTTCAGTGGAAGTTTCACAAACGACCAGGAGCGACATGGGAATTGGAGTCAAAAATGAGATCAGAGTACCCTTGGCTCTTCGATTAAAGGAATTCCAGGATGGAAATCTTTTAAGGGGTAGATAATGTGATAACCAGATCTTGGTTGTCACCTGAGATAATAAATATGTGATTATTTGTTATATGTGATTACGTGACAGCATGATAAATTGATACATTTGATCATGTTCGTATGTGAAAATGTGCATAATGAAGATACATGAATGAGATTATGTGTATTTATGGATGCACATGTTTGTATGATATATATGTATATGTATGTATGACATGCATGCATGTATGTGCATGTGTGCATAAGTGTATATACATATATATATATATATATGTGTGTGTGTGTGTGTGTGTGTGTGATTATATGATTAAAGTGTGAAGGAATGTATGTGGTGTCGGCTGTAGTAGCCGACTTTCCTTACTTGGAAAATATAAAAGGGAGGTTGAGCCTCCATTGTAACCATTTTCTATTTTGAGACCTTCTTTGAGCGATTTAAGAAGAAGAAGAGTTGATCGGACTATAATCTAAGCTTTTCAAAAGACTGATTTCAAAAGGCTTTTCAAGGTGAGTGGTTTAAATTGCTTTTAATATGTACATAGTTGTATAATTGATTGTATAGCTTTTTCATCTGATTTAAAAGATAACCATTAAGGTGTTGTCCAGATTAGACTTAAATCGGCCAAGAGTCAGGCGGTTTAGTCTTAAACCGGACAAGGGTTGGGGATTTAAGCCCTAAACCGGTTAAGGCTTAAACGATTTATAAATAAACCGCTTGAGTATTGTTCGGATTGGACTTAAACCGGTCAAGGCATAAGCGTTTTAGCCTTAAACCAGACAAGTGTTAAGCGATTTATAAATATTAAGTTTATGTTTTGAACGGAGAAGTATGAATACAACCATGTGTTGTCCGGATTTGTTATCCGAACAAAAGTGTTGGAATTCTCTTAAGTGTTAAATCGGACAAAGCTTTGAGAGATCTGTCCGGATTAGTAAATCGGACAAGGGTCTTGTATTGACCAGATTAGTAAATCGGTCAAGGCCTGACCGGAGATGAAGTCCAGCCAAGTCTGTGTTGACCGGATTTGTGCTTTGACTTATGTATTATTTATACAATTGTCATTTTTAGTATTCTTGTATAAAAATGGGAATTTTGATAAAGAATGATTTTGAACTAATGATATTCCATTAGAACATTTATGGCTACGGTCTGTTCTAATTGGAATTGTTTTTGTGATATTTTTTAATGAGGAAATAAGGGTGGCATATCAAGGAGAGGTGTACCATGGGATAAGGGTGGCATATCAAGGAGAGGTGTACYATGGGATAAGGGTGGCRTATCAAGGAGAGGTGTACCTTTGGATATAAGGGTGACATTTGTATGTGTGTTTTGTTATATAACTCTTACTGTTATATCCTTTAAAATTACCGTGGTCTGGAATCTTTATTTCTTTGTGATTTAAAGGTTTAAGATCGGGGTTTTTATTGGAAATCGTCGTCTGGATGTTTTTGAGGAGAAAATAACAGGTTTGGCCTGAAACTTTAAATAAACCTTGTTTAACGGAAAATGTTTAAAAGTGGCATTATATGAAACCTGGTTGGTTCAAACCTATAAAGGTTTGAAGTATGTTATTTGAATAGCTGAATGCTTGGCTTGAAATGTGGAAAGGTACTGGTATATGTTCCTATTTGTTCATATATTTGTTATATATATGAAAAGGTTATTTTGTACAATGTTTTGGTGATTTTCACCCTGCAATAACATAAATAGGCTAACTCACTAGACCTTTCGGTCTAACCCTCATTTTGTGATTTTAAATATGTATTGCAGGWGGTACGGACGGTAAGGGGAAGGGGAAAATGTGATATTTTTCTATATGCATATCTATATGAAGATTTGTCTATGATGTATAGTTTTGATTAATGAATGATGATTAGTACAAGAAATGTATTTTGAATTTTTGGGATATGTATTATGTATGGTAAATTCTTGTACTAAGGGACCTGAGTGGTACATAAACATGTATTTCTTCCGTATGAAGTATGTGTTACATGCAATGTGTGGTATGAGGTGTTACATCTAGATTCTTGTTGAAGAATGCATTACCCTTTCGTGGTCACGTTGAATCCGAAATGTCTATTTCTAAAGGCATGTTCTTAGAAACATTAGCCTTAATTGGTGATTGCAATGAGGATGAAGGTAAAGTTATATTAAAAAGATATTGCTGCTTGTTTTGCAAATCAAATACTATAATCCAATCGTAAAGAAATTGATGATGATGTGTTCTCATTGCTAGTTGATGAGTCTAGTGACGTTTCTTAGAAGGAACAAAATGGTGGTGATTTTAACATATGTTGATGCACGTGGTATTGTTAAGGAGAGATTTTTTGGTATTGTTCATGTGACGGGGACATCTTCTTCAATTCTTAACTCTGACATTGATGTTTTATTTGTTGAACATGGATTGAGCTTGAAACAGGTAAGAGGGAAAGGTTATCACATAGCAAGTAATATACGCGGTGAGTTTAATGGATTAAAGGCCTTGATCTTGAATGACAACAGCTCGACATATTATATCCATTGTTTTGCTCACCAACTTCAATTAGTTGTTGTGGCGGTTGCAAATAAACATGACGGAGTTGAGAATTTCTTTAATATGTTAGGAATGGTGATCAATGTGGTGAATGCTTCTTGCAAGCATAAAGACATGCTTCGACAAAGTTACAAAGATAGAGTGCAAAAAGCAATTGGTAAGTGTGAAATTGAAACCGGAACGGGGAAGTACCAAGAGATTTCTTTTATACGAGCCAGAGATACACGGTGGGCTTCTCATTGTAAAACCATTTTGAGCTTGATTGTTTTGTTTTCGAATGTTGTTGAAGTGCTCTAGTATGTTGAAGAGGACGACGATAATGGTTTTAGTCGCACTCAAGCAACTGTATTTTAGCATATTTGAAGACATTTGATTTCGTGATTTATTTGCGCTTGATGTTTCATAGTTTAGAGGTCACAGACTTGTGGTCACGAGCTCTTCAAAAAAAGGATCAAGATATTTTGGAAGAGATTTCAGTGATAAGAGGAACCAAACAACTATTGCAACAATTTAGAGAAACTAGTATTAAATCTTTGGAAATGGCATTAAATCTTTGGATATAGAAGATCGTTATTGAAAAAAACGGAAGACAAAAAAGCAACATCACCGATCATCATTATTACAAGTTTGAAATTTTCAACACTATTGTGGACATGCAAATTCAAGAGTTTGGGGATCGATTTAGTGAGGTAAGCACTGAATTGCTTAAAAATAATACAACTTTGAGTCCATGTGATTCATTTTTGCATCAGATTTATTGAAGTTGAATGAATTGTATCCTCATGATTTTAGTCGTATGGAAATGATCGTTCTTGAGAAACAATCTAACATGTACTATTTGGTTGTGCGTCAAGATGAAAGATTTGCCGATTTGAGTGGTATTGTCGAGCTCGCTAGATTTCTAGTGGAAACAAAAAAAACATATAACTTATCCTCTAGTGTATCGGTTATTGAAGTTAGATTTCGTCTTGCCAGTTGCTACCGCAACAGTCGAAGATGTTTTTCTACTATGAAGATTGTGAAGTCATATTTGTGCAACAAAATCGGTGATGAATTTTTGAATGCTGCAATGATGTGCTATAGAAAAAGAGGCACTTCTCAAAGTTTCAAATGATGATGTAATTAGCCAATTCCAAAAGATGAAGAATCGTAGGACACAGTTGTAAGATGTAACTTTTTATCATTTTTTTATGAAATTGAAGTTAATCTTTATTTTATCTTATATCATATCCCCTATGATAATTTTTTCTGCATCCACCACTGACTTACACACATTCAAATATGTATACATAAAATAAATTAGCTTATGTTTGTCAACAATACCTAAGACTTCATCTAGTTCATCAAAATCTCCATTTTACATGTGGACTTTTAGTAAATCTCTCTGGATTAAGTCTGGATATTTATAAAAGCAATTTTTAATAATGTTGTTTTTTGTCAAGTAAAAACGTGTATTTTACAATTATAATAATTTTTAAATACATAAGTATATCAGAAATTTATATATATATATATATATATATATTAAAGAAAGAACGAAGTGTATTGAAGTGACATCATTAGAATTAAGTATTGAGGTGTTGGTGAATTGTGGTTGAGTTTGAGATATCCCCACATTGGTAAGAGGTTGAAATATTGGAATAAGAAGGTGTGTATAAGAAAGAAGGTTGAGATTAATTGTGTCAACTCATGAGGTTGAGTTTAGATATCCCACATTGGTGAGAGATTGAAAGATTAAAATAAGAAGGTGTGTATAAGAAAGAAGAACGAGATTAATTGGGTTAACTCATGAGACTTGACTCATAAATTTAACTTACTTGAATGACCCTATTTTCACAAAACAAATCTTAATATATAAAAATAAAAATGAATTATGATTACAACCATCAATGTATATATATATATATATATATATATATATATATATATATATATATATAAAATAAGAACCAAGAGGTAATTAGGTGTATAATGAGAATTGAGTATTGAAGTCTTGGTGAATTGTGGTTGAGTTTGAGATATCCCACTTTGATGAGAGATTGAATCAATATATATATATATTTTAAGGGAACAACCAAAGGATAATGAGATTACTTAATGAGCTTTGAGTATTCATCAAATCTTGAAATGTGGCTTATGGGTTGGTTGTTTTCATCGTTCCTCTTAATATAAAAATCAAAATTTATAATACACTTATTTCGTGCCCACTTAATTTCATTTTTTAACCGTTTTAATAAAATTATGTTTTAAAAAACATTTATAAGTTAAATTAGAAATATAATTTCTACATATACACATCATAATAATAAAACAGTGTCAATGGTATTGTGTCACAAATAAATCAATCATCAATATCAATATATGTATATTAAAATAGAAACCAAAAGTAAGTAATGTGATAAAATGAGGATTGAGTATATTTAAATATTAAAGGTGACTGATTTTCATCATCCCATATTGGTGAATAGATGCAAAATTGGAAGTACTGAGTCAATATGTGAAAGAAGAGTGGGTACTTTTAGGCCAAATCATGAGTTTGCTCAATTTGGTCCACCCTCTTTTACAAATTCTTTTATATACATAATTTACATAATATTTTTGTATTAAGAAATAAAGTTGGTTCATTTTAACTTTCTCTATTTTTGCAAACAAATTATTCATATTAAAAACTCTTTTATATCAATTGACTTTAAAATACCAACGAAAGATAATGATATGAATTTATTATATATATATGTATTTATATTATAAAATTGAATTAAAAACTTTAAAATAATATAACGAACAATTTATTGATTGTTTTAGTTTGTTATAACTAAAATTGAATCTACAATTATATTTATTATAACTAAACTTGATTATATAATTATAAGTAAAATAAAATAAGCCTATATATAAAGAAACAACATGTTAAGGTATTGTTGTAAGTCCATGAAAATGTGATATATTCGAAGATGGAGGTAAGTATCTGAAAGAAGGAAAAAATTAATTTGAGATCAATCATCAATCAATATAATATATTAAAAGAGAAATCAAACAAAAAATATGAAATATATAACCATGGTTGAAGTCAAAACCAACCAAAAAAATACAAAATAAGTGACTATTTAAAAGGAGTTAGATATCTTTCAAACTAAGAGAGTTTGTGCAACTTTTAGATTGACCCGTTTTTTGGACAACCATCTTTTATAAAAAAAAAATATATACCAAAAACTAATATAAAAAACAAAATAAAGTTGACAATAAATCAACACCATAAAATTGGTAGAATTATAGTTGTAAATACAAAATTTATACATCTATAATCTATATTTTTATATCTTTATATTTATCCATGTAAAAGCAATAACCATGATAATCTGGTGACAACTTCTAAGCATTATAAATCATTTTTCCTCACATAATTGTTTGCATCGCACATTGGATCAAAAAATGAAAGAGGCATGTAGGAGATGGATAGAAAAAGAAAATGCCCAACTTTTTTTATCAATATTGCTTGCATCCCGCATTGGTGATGCAATGAAAGTGGCAAGAGGGAGATTGTGTGATAACCGAGTCATGGTTATTATCTAAGGTATTTATTCCGTGAATTAATTGCTTATATGAATATATGCTTACATGGATTAAAAATATACATGCATGTTATGTGTGTGAGTATGCATGCAAATGGAAAAGAAGGGAAAGGCTAATATAGTCGACTTTCCTAAAAAGGAAAGTATAAAAGGAGGGCTTAGCCTCCATTCTCTTCTTCTTACCACTTTTGTTATCGGATTGAGTGATTTAAAGAGAGGGGGAAGTTGACCGGATTATTTTGGATGTAGGAAGTAGATTCAATCTGATTTTCTAAAGGAATTCATAAGGTGGGTAGTTTAATGATTTTCAAATATTTCAAATTGTAGGATTGAGGTTTGAATTAGTTATTTGTCAATTTATAATATTGAACGGATATTGTTAAATCGGTTGTTATCCAGATTTAGATAAACCGGATGAGCCTTAGGTGATTTTCGTGTAAACCGGATGTGCCCTAAGCGATTAACAAGTAAACCGGTCAAGGGTTAGGCGGGTTAATCTTAAACCGAAGAAGGTGTAAGCGATTTATGTATAAACCGCTCAAGTGATAAGCGGTTTAGCTTTAAACCGGATATGTCTCGACAGGTTTAAAGATTGAGCGATTTGTGAACTTTGATTTTATGATTAAATGTTTCAAATGGAGAAGTATGAATACGACCATGAGATGACCGGATTTTTCTAAATCGGTCGATAGGGCATAGTGTTGTCCGGATTTGTTATCCGGACAAAAGTGTTGGAAATCTATTTCTAAAATGATAAATCAGACAAAGCTATGAGAAAGGTTGTCCGGCTTTGTTATTCGGACAAGGTTGACCGGATTACTTTTTATCTTGTCAAAACATGATTCTTTTGGAACAACAAATGAGAATTTTTGACAAAAACGAATTTGAACTGATAATAATTTCATTGACTCCGGTCTATTCTAAATGGAATTGTTTCATGAAATATTTTGATGGGGAAATAAGGGTGGCATATCAAGGAGATGTATACCATGGGATAAGGGTGACATATCAAGGAGAGGTGTATCATGGGATAAATGTGGCATATCAACGAGAGGTGTACATTTGGATATAAGGGTGTCACTTGTGTGTGTGTTACGTAATATAACTCTTACTATTATATGCTTTAAGATTACCGTGGTTTGGAATCTTTATTTCTTTGTGACTTAAATGTTTAAGATCAGGGTTCTTATTGGAAAACATAGTCTGGATGTTATTGAGAAGAGGATACCAGGTTTGGCCTGAAACTTTGAATAACCCTTGTCTAAATGAAAAAGGTTTAAAAGTGGCGTTATGTGAATTTGGTAAACCTATTTTGGATTTGATGTATTATTTGTAAGCAAAGATTATTGGCTTAAAAAGTAAAACGGTATTGGTATTATATTCTTACTTATTCATAGATTTGTGAAATATGTGAAATGTTGTTTTACTTAAAAGTTTTGGTGATTTTCACCCTGCAATAACATAAATAGGGTAACTCACTAGGCCTTTTGGTCTAACCCTCGTTTTGTGATTTTAAATATGTATTGCAGGAAGTGCTAACGGTAAGGGGAAGGGAAAAATATAATATTTTCCCTATATGATTATCTGCGTGAAGGTTTACTGAAGGTATGTATAGTTTTGATAGATGATCTAGTTTAGTGCAAGAATTGTATTTGAAATTTTTGGACCATGTATTTCGTACTGGTAAGTTCTTGTACTAAGGGGCCAATGTGGTGTATAAATATG